ACTGTGATGGATTGCATATTTTGGGCCAGTTTAAAATCTGTAAACAGACATTGTCGACGCTAAATATAAACTTGAAACCAAGGCGTTCTGCTAAAGAGGAAAACATATTTGTCATTGCATAAAGCCGCAAACAGCTCATAGAGTCATAACAGGAATGGTTGAAAAGTGCTCGGAGGCAAGGTAAACCATAAAGTACACATGATTTGTTGTGAATAGGCTGAGAAGTTGTGTTTACGTGTGTGCACGGCCGTCTGTGGAATGACAGTGTGATAAAGTACCAGGGAGAGGGAGCGTCTCTCCAGGCTGCTCTTGCCCAGGCTCATAACGCTGCTCTTTCTAGACTCCATGGTGAAGCTCCGCCTCTCCGAGGAGTAGGATCCCCTGGGTGCTGAAAGGGCACCCAGCTCCAGGTGGCCGTTTGGTGTCAGGGTGCAGATCCTCGGGTCTGGAATGGAAAATAGCAGATGGGTTAAAAGTGTTGTGATAGCAATCCAAACTTCCCTCAGTCATAGTTTAATGCCTGACTGCTAAGACGTGAGAAGCTATTCTCATATCCAATTTCAGTTGATTTCTGGGATTCAGTCATAAGACTGCAATTTCCCACACATTTCTTTTCAAGCTGTCTCTGGGTGCCTTACATTTACTAAATTTCCATTTGAAAACCTCCAGGGATGGAGACACATAACAAAAAAATAATAATAAAGAAAAAATGGAGGGTAAAAATCATATGAGTGTCTGGAGAAAGCCTAAATTAATTTCATTCATTTCCCTACAAGGCAACATGAGACACTGGTACTACTGTGACGGCTGTAACCAACAAGCTGAACTTAGTTCTGCTCAATATTAATTTGATCTCTTTATAAACTGCTGGGGATAATAGCAGATGTTACAAATAGGCTCTGATTTGTGCTTCAACCCTGTCCTAAATAAGTTAGAAAGTTACTATCAACACTCTTAAGTTGGTTATGGGTGATATAGGGGTGGTTTTGGAGGCATATTCATATTCAATTTGCAGGTGCACAGCTGGGTTAAAAATGAAGGCCCAGTCTGAACACAAGTGTGGTAAATTCTACTGATTAGCTTTTAACTGGCACCTGCACATTTAGCTAGGTCTGTGTTGTGATCCCAAAGCAAAATTGTCATGAAAATGGCTGCGTGCAGGCAGGAGAGGACCCAGAAGCAGACTCACAGAAATGGGACGTAACTCAAAAACAGCTTTATTTACAGAAGGGGAAACAAACAATACAAAACTAAGCTGGGAAAAACTAGTTAGCTAAACACTCGAGAAACACACAGAGAATTCCACACAACCACGAGGGACGACGCGACACACCGCGAAACTGCGGGAGACTCTGAGGCTACGTCCACACGTACA